ACAGAAACTAAAAATTCAGCAATTTTTCTATTTGTAAACACGCATAACTCTAGAACGGTTGTGTATAAGTCTTATAACATTTGGTTGAGACAAACTAAAGTTAGCAATTTTTATGTTTATAAAGGGATATTACTCAAGAATGGTAATTTGTCGCCACCTTATTTCGTACTTAATCTGTATTATGTAGTAATAAGCCTTGTGTATAAGTTTCATAACATTTGGTTGAGGCAAACTAAAGTTAGAAAACGGAAACAATAATTTTGTACTTGATCTTAGTTTTGTGGTAATGAATATGTGGTATAGGTTTCATAATGATTGGTTGAGGCAAACTTAAGTTACAGAATGGAAACTAAAAATTTGCAATCGTTCAATTTATAAAGGGGCATAACTCAATAATGGTTAAAGTGACACTACCCAAATTCAACTTGATCTGTGTTTTATCAGTGGAAGTCAAAATTAAACATTGCATTGTATAAAGCATTGATTGTAGTTGATTCAACTATAATAATGGACAAAGGGAGATAATTCCAATTTTAAAAATTACTTGATATTTAGAAGAAAATAAAAATTTTGCAATTTTTCCATTTATAAAGTGACGCCACCAAAATTCAAACTTGATCTGTGTTTTGTGGTAATAAGCATTGTGTATAGGTTTTATAACATTTGGTTGAGGCAAACTTAAGTAAGAGAACAGAAACTAAAAATTTTGCAATTTTCCCATTTATAAAGGGGCATAACTCTAGAACGGTTAAAGTGACGCCACCAAAATTCAAACTTGATCTGTGTTTTGTGGTAATAAGCATTGTGACAGTTTTGTGTATAAGTTTTTACTTTAACATTTGGTTGAGGCAAACTCAAGTTAGAGAACGGAAACCAATTATGGGACGTACGGACGTATGTACGAACAGACGGACAAGGGTAAAACTTAATGCCCCCACCGCTACGGCGGGGGCATAAAAAAATAAAATAGCCTTGCTAGACGTCATAATTATTTTAACTACCAAAAGTCTGAAAAGATGTAACCTAATTCTTACTTGTTTGGGGAAGAGGGGATTAACCGAACCACTATTCAATCTAAATCAGTGAACTGAATTATTGTCTTCTGCAGTAGTCCGAGTCGACATCTGTAACTAATCATGCAAATTGATAGTCAACAGTATACCTTTTTCAGAATGTCAGTTCACAAAGAATCACTGGTGATAGGGGAGTGTAACCGATAAATTGATCCTGAATCAGATAAGATTTTCCAAGGACGTATAACTAACACAATACGTCCTTGGATTTTCCCAGTAACGGAGAACCCCTTTCTTTGAGTGAATATAAATAGTGACGGGGGTCTCACAAATAAATTTAAATCTGAATTACAGGAACATCGATTAGCAAAGTAAACTTACATATTAATCTCGAAGTTATTTACGGTAAAGACAGACTGTGCTCCTGAATTAAGGTATTATACATTTGTGTATTGTACTCGGGGGGGGGGGGGGGGGGGGGAATTCCTATATACAAGGTGATATGACGTGCCGCTGGAAGTGGGTCTCATTGGGGTCTAAGCGTGACGCGGGAATGCCGATTTTTTATATGCGTGACACGTGAAAGTCAAATTATTGTGCCGTGAAAACGGGAAATAAAGTATAGTGGGATACGGGAAATTACAAAAAAAAATGAGAATTGCTTACGTACATAGTGTAAGCGGGATACGGGAATCTGACAAAACAGTAAGCGGGATCCGGGATCAGAACCCCCCAATGAGACCCCCCTGGAATAGGTCACTTTTTCCAGCTTGAAAATATGGGAATAGGTGGGGAAAACTATCAGAAATATATGATAAGGTCGATAAAGTTCCAATTACTTGTATATGAAAAGCCCTGTCATTTTTTCACAGCCGAAAGTCTCGCCGTAAGTAAACATTACATACAGAATCTTAGCCTTAAATATTCCACTTTTCCAACACACCCCACGAAAACCAACCAATATGGGAAAAGGTTACAATTTTACCCTCGCAGTATATGAAAAGGTATAAAACATTTTTAAGATCTAAATTATATGAATAGGGTGGGGTAACAGAACCCCAGCGACACCCCTATCAATTAAGTATTGAAGTGCCCCTCCCCCCACCCCCCGGAGGTATTTTACTGCTACAAGATATTTAAATTGCTAATCACGCACCCGTTGATGAGCAGAGAACCATACTTTCAAGCCAGGGGCAGTCTATACTAACAGTTAGTATAGAAAGACCCTGTAAAAAGGCAGGCAAATCCTAACAGTACTGTAACTTAATGATACATGTATATCAAGTTACAGCACCTCACCCAGCACAGTTAGCACACTGGTGTGTGTCAGTCTTATAATATAAAACTGCGTAGGTTCATATCGTTTGATTCAACGTTTTTTTCGGATATTTTTTAGGACCGTTGTCAACTTGACATTGTCAAATCCGATCGCGACCTGCCACTTTGCAACCTGACCTGCAAAAACATAATTCGACTAAAAACAATGCCAGTCAAAATTGCTTTTTGAGACTTGGCGACTAAAAAAGTTTTAAAATGTGACCTTGTGACCCTACTTGGAATTCTTCATTCATCGGCGTGTGTCGGTTTGGCTAAAAAGGGGGCATTGTTTTTTTTTCTCGGGACAAAAAATTGTTTCTATCTTTATAAAAAAAAAATTAAGACCAATCATAAACTTTTTTTTCAAAACTCAGTGTCGTATTTTATTGTTTTCCCAACAATTTTTAATAAAAGCTTAAAATATTTGTTTCACTTCCCTCTGACTTCCCTCCTGATTTTTTTTCTCAAGAAATTATAGAATTAGTAAATGGATATATATATATGTCTGTGGCCACCGTCATGCAGTTAGATAAGAAATTCCAGCATGCATCATCAAATAATTCATGTGTATTTGTGACATCAACATAACTGAAACATTATATTATTTCCCAGTAATTATGTAAATCATTTTGATTTACAATTATATATGTCTGGGACTTATGCATGTATATATCTCACAGGCACATGTCTCAGAAAAAAATAATCCTATATATATACTTTAATAAAAGTATATAGGAAAAAATTCTGATACAAGTGCCTGTGATACATGTATATCTGTCAGTCCCAGAATAATAAATATAATTGTATCTTAATCTTTGGGAAAATCCGATTATTAAATTGTTAAATTCTTTAACGTCATAATTATATCAAGGTTTACTTTTTAAAGTTATAAATTTTAAAGTTAAAATGAATATTCCGTTTTGATCTGAGGAAAAACTTTTTAAACTGTAATGACATGGTCAGTCAACTGATTTGTTGCATGGCTGATTACAGGTAATTAAAGCATGCAGTAATTTTCCATTACGGTAGTGCGTGTAACCCTGGGGTGTGTATAACGTATTAGAAATATCATAGTTTTCTAGAGAACATCCTGTCTATGTGTAATACAGATTGATGACATTACACAATTTTTTTTTCGTTAAATGTAGTTAAGTATCTGTGTCCATTCCCTATTGCAACACTACAATTCTTTCGAAGAAAAAAATGTTAAAATTAAAAAAAAAAAAATCATTTATATAAAATAAAGAAGAAAAAAGTAGCAAATAAACTTATGTAACTACGCATTGAGTAACCATAATTTCACTTTACATGTACAAACCCTTGAGAAAACGTATATATAGATGTGTTTAAAAAGGCCAATGGACATGTATATATGTTTTAGTGAGCGTTGAGGGTATACATTCGATAGATAATTTAATATTTGATCTTATAATTTTGGTTTTGATAAAATCAAACCAACATTAAAGAAGTTATTTGGGATACGTCATGCATGACCGATGATCATATTCAATACCAATCATCATTTTGATTACAACGTTTGATCTTTAATAATTAGGACTGATTGGTGATGGTTATAAACACATACAAGTAAACTTTGCAAACAAACAAAAAAAAAACGTTTCCTTGGAAAAAATATAAAAATACATGAATATTGTTTTTACAAAAAAAGTTAAATAAATTTTTCGTTTTGTATGTAATAATTGAAGCCATTTAGAAATATAAGAAATCTTCACATAGTCGGGAAATTTTCAATTCAAGTTATTTCATTTGAAAACGTTAACAAATATAGATCTTATTCGATGTAAAATGTGGCGTCCTTGGAGATCAAAACCCCGTTTAAATAGGGTTTGTCTACTTTCGTCTATTGCCGAACATTCTATAATCAAGGATTTTTACAAATCCTTGCTATAATATAATGAATCGCGTCGCCAATATCACCACAATTACATAAAGTACAAATACAATCTTCTCCTAAATATTTGGCATCTAACAATTACAATAGGAAATTTTGAGTCGAAACTGAAGTACCAAATCTACAAAAAGAATCACTATTTTTTGTAGTAGTAGGCGTTGAAAACTAAACTGTTTATAATCTTTTTTTTCTCCTAAATTAATTGAAACTCCTGAACTAATTTAACATTATCTATAGACAGCTTACATATGCAAATCTTTTTAGAAGTATGTGAGTGTTTAGTAATAATTTGTTCATTAACTCCCCTTTTTCCTTCTATAAAATTACATTGTAATCGATTTTATTTCCAAATTTTGGTTTGCTAGGATTGACACTTAGAACGTACAACAAAAAGTAACAAGTAAAAAGTCACGATTCAGTTTTGGGATATTTTTTTCTTTGAATAAACTTAATTTTAAAAACGTTTCAGTATTTTTCTGAAACATTTTTAAAAGGAAACGGACTTGTAAACAAAATTTATTTTTGAATATTAATATGAACAATGATTGTTAAGAAAAACAATCTGCAAAAGTGGTTTGGTAATTAACTGAAGTCATGCTGTCAAAAATGTCTCCTTTTTATAAGTTATTGATAAAAAAAAACTATTTGAAGGCGAATTAATCATTTCCTCAACTAAATACATTTATCTATAAATAAAGTCAATTCGTCAAGGACTTTCTCTCATATATTTAAACAATTGTAAAATAATTAATCTAAACCTTTGTCCTGCGACTTTCTGTCCGTTTACCAATACTTATTCCTTGTTAAGTTTTTTCATATCCATTTACGAATACTTATAACGTGATAATTAATTTTTCCGGATGCTTTTTATCCTATTTTCATATCAAACAACCATGTTACCCGTAGAACGGAGTTAAGTACAAATTTAGGAATTTAGTACTTAAAATTTTCAACAACACAATTTTACACTTTCATTTACCTGGATTTTTTTCTACGCTTCGAAGCCGCCACCCTATATCAAACTTATCCAACACCTCGCATGGCGTATTCACGATGTGGAGGGATTGACAATATACAATCAAAGTTAGCAATATACAGCAAGTAAGTAATTGGGTGTTGAATGCCAGTAGATCTGAATTTGTAAATTTTTAAATTGAATTTAACCTGTTTAGAACGTGTATTGTTGAATTGTTCAATAAAATTACACACATAATCTGGGCTGATATGCATAAAACCACTTTAAGTTCAAGGTATCAATAAAACTGGGTCTGCATGAAAAAATGACTTATCACATAATACTAGAACCTATGTTTAGCCGATAAGAAAATATAGCTGTAGGCCTAGTTGAAAATCTTTACAAATTATTTATTCTTTTAATTTCTGTTTGACTGTCTGGGTGCTTCTTATGTGTTTTAAATGCTATAGTCAAGTTTTATATACTGTTGTACGTCATTTGGTCGTTTTTAAGTTTTTGCCATGGCGTTTGTCAGTATGTCTTCGACTTATCAGTTTTATCAAGGATTTGTATAGTGAGATTGGTTTTACATAATCTGCATCTCTTGTGCTGTATTTTGAAATGTATTACAATTGCTGCATCTTTACACATTCATCAATACACCAAAAAATATGAATAAAGCTTTCGTATATATATAAATAAGGAGATGTGGTACGATTGGTAATGAAACAATTATCCGCCAGTTCAAGTCGAAAACCTGATATAAGCAAATGTGACTTACTTACTTACTTTTGTCAGAGAGATCTTGAATCTGAATTCAAGGATACGAAGTGGGAAGGGTTTAGAGGTGGAATAAGGTGAGGGCATGGGGGGCCGCCCCTTTTTTGGAAAAAAAAATTGCTTGATTATTTAGAGAATGAATGAAGCGGGGGCCCTCTTTATGCATGACAGTTAGTGCCTCCTTATGACATTTTTTGGATCCGCAACTGGTGAGGACTTCATAAAAAAATATTTAGTAAGTTTTTGTTTTGTGATAAATAATGTATTTAGACAGAAATAGAATAAAATAAACTACCGAAAGCTTAAGTATGGATGGGGGTTAAAAGAATAGAGAATAACGGGCAAACAATAAAGATTAAAGAATAATGAAATGCTAAAATATGAGGAAAGAGAGTAATGAGCAAAAAGTGTAAGTTTGTAGAAATATAGCAAAAAAAAAAAAATAAAGAACACAGAAAAAGAAGACCCCCCCCCCCCAAGATCCTGACTTCAACTTTGACGCTGCTGGGATATTTTTTAGACAAAGTGCACGTATTAGTAGTCAGCCTAAACCACTAAGCGTTTTGCATCCATACGGTTTTTTTTTCGGGATACTGACTGCATAGTAAACTATCAATGTAGTAGTTAATGTTCTCGAGGGATGACCCTATTACAGAGACATATATACACATATGTGTAAATATGTCTCAGACTCTGCCCTATTACGTGTCAGTGACCTCCTCGACACGGTTCATTTTACGGCGGCTCAGTTTTGTCTTAAGAATAAACATAATTGATAAGTTTCTTTCCCCTGCATTTCTCGATCGCACTTGTAAATAGCACATTGGTCTCAAGACATTGGTTACAACACTTGCCGTCAGTACTCAAAATTGGAAAAATATTAAATAAGAAGGTAAAGAAAATTAAATTAATGCACACACACTATTATCAACCACAGACATGATGTTTTTCTCAATTTGCCTAAATCGTTATTCCGCAATACAACGAGGGTGAAAACCCACCACTTTGAACACAGTCACAGGCACCGGCATGCTGTGAACTTGTAAGTTTCCCAAATGAGTAACTATCCATTACTTTTCTAGTGTAAAGTTTTATTTAATACACATTTGATTTGAAATGGCATATCAGAGAGATATATAAACATATATCATAGGCTGATTTGGGGGGGGGGGGGGGGGTTTCTTTGGAAAAATTTGGTTGATTATATAGGGATCACTGAAGCATGACTGGATCCGGCCCTCCCTTATGAAAAGTTCTGGATCTGCCACTGTATATTCATAAAATAAACCAACAAATTATCCAAAAGATGAATAATACTTAATACTTACGACTAAGATTGATTATAAGTATACTTGAGTCGGTTTTACAATAAAAAAACTTACAATTTATCGTAAGTATACTGTATTGTACATGACTTAATTACTATCAATATTATTTGTAAGTTTTTTTGTGAAACTGACTGCTGAATTGTTTTTCCATGCTTATGGTACATCTAAGTCATATGCTTTTTTTTAAAACCACCTCCAGGGTATAATGTCTGCTCGCCCATAGAATCTGTTTGTAGATATAGGAAGATGTGGTATGAGTGCCAATGAGACAACTCTCCATCCAAGTCACACAATTTATAAAAGTAAACCATTATAGGTCAAGGTATGGTCTTCAACACAGAGCCTAGTTTTTATCAAAAATGAAATATATTGATATTAATAGTATACAGGTTAAATAATTTATTCATACATTTTTAATTGACTGACTAGAATTATCATGATAATTGAGGAATTTGAACCATTCCTATTTTTAAAAAGGGACAAAAATAAAATTTATATATAATAACAGGGTGATACAAATGAGAAAAACTCAAGAAATTGTTTTCAATTAAGATAAATACATGGTTTTCAGTTGATTTTTAAAGCAGAGGCAGATTTAGTTTAAAGTTGGAAAAAATTGTTTGTACCAACAAAAATAAATACAGAAAGTTAATCCAGAATTATGTGTTTATCATTTTTTTTTATGTTTAGGTTGCCAGCAAGATGAAAAGAACAATGCAGTTCAAAAGTCAAAATGTGGATAAGCTGCGGTACAAGGTCCTACTTTTGCAGATTTTCATATTTTGCATGAATGAATTTGAAGTTTATATCCTGGAGGGCAGAGAAAGAAAAGAAACACTTCAGTTTTCCTGCCTCTGAAGGATAAATGTAAAACATCTTGTTTGGTAAGTTTTATGCTCTGTTATGATAGTGTTTGTGCATCCATCTGTCTTTCTCTAAATTGTATTCACTTTAAGTTTTTGGTTACAGTTCACCATGAACTTCAGTTAGTAACTTGTGGTTTTACATGTATCTACTCAAAATTTAGTACTTTAAAATGTTCATGTATTTTTGTCGAGCCCGCAACTTTTGTCGCAGAAAGCTCAACATAGGGATAGTGATCAGGTGGCGGCTACGGCGGTGGCGTTAGCAGTGGGGGTTAGCTAACTTCCTAAAAGCTTTATATTTTAGAAGGTGGAAGACCTGGATGCTTCATACTTTGTATATAGATGCCTCATGATACGAATTCTGTCTGAAACATGTCCATTGTCCTTGACCTCATTTTCATGGTTCAGTGACTACTTGAAAAAAAAGTTCAGATTTTTTGTAATGTTAATTTCTCTCATATTATGAGTAATAGGATAACTATATTTGGTATGTGCGTACCTTGCAAGGTCCTCATGCTCGTCAGAGAGTTTTCACTTGACCTAGACCTCATTTCATGGATCAGTGAACAAGAACTTAGTCTTAGATGCATGATTTTTTTCATTAGTTGTTAGTGGCTTTGTTCTAGCTGTCAGTAACTGCGAGTACTCTCAGATCTGTACTTAGTGTCTTTTTGTTGTTTGGATGTACAAGTACCCGGCCACGTCCACTTGTATTTGTAGTATTTGTATTTTTATCCATCTGATGAGTTAAGCCTCTTTCAACTGATTTTTTTTGCGGTCGTATATTGGTATGATGTTGGCGTCGTCGTCGGTGTCGTCGTCGTCCGAAGACACATTGGTTTTCGCACTAACTTTAGTTTAAGTGAATGGATCTCTATGAAACTTTACCATAAGGTTCAATACCACAAAAGAAAGGTTGGGATTGATTTTGGGGGTTATGGTACCAACAGTTAAGGAATTAGGGGCCAAAAAGGGGCCAAAAATAAGCATTTTTGTAACTTCCAGACATAACTTGTGTGTTAGTGTATGGATCTCTGACATTGTACCACAAGGTTCCATATCACAAAGGGAATGCTGGGATTGATTTTGGGGGGTAATTGCCTCAAAATATTAGGAATTAGGGGCCAAAAAAGGGACAAAAAACAAGCATTTTTCTAGTTTCATGACAATAACTTGTGTGTAAGTGTATGGATCTTTCTGAATTTGTACTACAAGGTTCCATATCACAAAGAGAAAGCTGGAATTGAGTTTGGGGGTAATTGCCCAAAACGTTTAGGAAAAAGGGGCCAAAAATAAGCATTTTTCTAGTTTCCAGACAATAACTTGTGTTCAAGTGTATGGATCTCTCTGAAATTGTACTGCAAGGTACCATACCACTAAGGGAAGGCTGGGATTGATTTTGGGGGTAATTGCCTCAAAATTTTAGGAATAAGGGGCCAAAAAGGGGCAAAAAACAAGCATTTTTCTAGTTTCAGGACAATTACTTGTGTGTAAGTGTATGGATCTTTATGAAATTGTACTACAAGGTTCCATATCACAAAGGGAAAGCTGGGTTTGAGTTTGGGGGTAATTGCCCTAAACGTTTAGGAATTTGGGGCCAAAAAGGGGCCAAAAAAACAAGCATTTTTCTAGTTTCCAGACAATAACTTGTGTTCAAGTGTATAAATCTCTCTGAAATTGTACTGCAAGGTACCATACCACAAAGGGAAGGCTGTTATTGAGTTTTGGGGTGATGAATCATAAGGGGGTTCAAAAAATTTGGGGGGGGGGATTTTTTTTCCTTTTTTTTTCTTTAAAATTTTCCATTTTAAATTGGTTATTTCTGATTTATATATAAAAGCAAATAATTATGATATGGTTTGAATAGGTAAATTAAAATTTTTTAAGTTCTTAGACCACATTCATTCTGTGTCAGAAACCTATGCTGTGTCAAATATTTAATCACAATCCAAATTCAGAGCTGTATCAAGCTTGAATGTTGTGTCCATACTTGCCCCAACTGTTCAGGGTTCGACCTCTGCGGTTGTATCAAGCTGCGCCCCAGCGGAGCATTTTATTATTGTTCGTTCTTATGTTGTACTGTTACACCACTGTCCTAGGTTAGGGGGAGGGTTTGGATCCCGCTAACATGTTTAACCCCGCCACATTCTGTATGTATGTGCCTGTCCCAAGTCAGGAGCCTGTAATTCAGTGGTTGTTGTTTGTTTATGTGTTACATATTTGTTTTTCGTTCATTTTTTGTACATAAATTAGGCCGTTAGTTTTTCGTTTGAATTGTTTTACATTGTCATTTCGGGGCCTTTTATAGCTGACTGTGCGGTATGGGCTTTGCTCATTGTTGAAGGCCGTACGGTGACCTATAGTTGTTAATTTCTGTGTCATTTGGTCTCTTGTGTAGAGTTGTTGTCTCATTGGCAATCATACCACATCTTCTTTTTTATATTTAAGGTTAAGTTTTGGTGGTCAAGTCCATATCTCAGATACTATAAGCAATAGGTCTAGTATATTCGGTGTATGGAAGGACTGTAAGGTGTACATGACCAACTGGCAGGTGTCATCTGACCTTGACCTCATTTTCATGGTTCAGTAGTTATAGTTAAGTTTTTGTGTTTTGGTCAGTTTTTCTTATACTGTATGCAATAGGTCTACTATATTTGGTGTATGGAATGATTGAAAGGTGTACAGGTCTAGCTGGCAGGTGTCATCTGACCATGACCTCATTTTCATGGTTCAGTAGTCAAAGTTAAATTTTTGAGTTTTGGTCTTTTTTTCTAACACTAAATGCAATAGGTCAACTATATTTGGTGTATGGAAACATTTTATGATGTACATGTCAGTCCCGCAGGTTTAATTTGACCTTGACCTTATTTTCACGGTTCATTGCTCAGTGTTAAGTTTTTGTGTTTTGGTCTGTTTTTCTTAATCTATAAGCAATAGGTCAACTATATTTGTTGTATGGAAGGATTGTTAGCTGTACATGTCTGCCTGGCATGGTTCATCTGATCTTCACCTCATTTCCATGGTTCATTGGTCAATGTTTAGTTTTCTTGGTTAAGTCTGCTTCTTAGAAACTATAAGCAATACCGGTAGGTCAACTGTATTTAGTAATTTGAATGATTGTAAGGTGTACATATATTTCTTGTCAGGTTTATATGACCTTGAATTCATTTTCTTGGATTATGTTGAGTTTATGTGATAGTTGTAGTAAAGCTTTATATTTAGGACTATCAACATGATATCAATGATAAGTAAAGCAGGCGCAACATTTCAGTGTGTGCACTCTTGTGTATACATTAAACACCACATTTACTGTTTTTACCCTGATTTTATGGATCACTGAACATAGAAATGTCATAATGTGAAATTATAGTACATTCTTAGGTTAAAGTTTTAGGTTAAGGTACATAGCTTACCATGAAGTTGAATTTCATACACATGTTCATTATGTGGTGAATTTTTAAATTCAGTGCCAAACTAAGATTTTGAGCCTGATTACATGATTGACTAGACATTGACACATGCTAGTGTTTGCCAGGCATTGTGTCCTGTACTAGGAATTTGTCCTGTACTATGAACTTTAATAGTACTTGCTGAGTATGGAGTTTTTGTGAAAGTTTAATATTAGTGAGATTTTTGCATGACATCCTGTCAACTGCTTGTTGATCATGTTTATACATGTCTTAAAATTAATATCTGACACATTGGTGTTTTGTGAACTTGGAAATAAGTTATTTGATAGAATAATAATGTTTTGAGATTATCAAAATAAAAAATATCCCATTTTTACTACATTGTGTATTAATGATTATAGTATATAAAAAAGAAGATTTAGGATATATGTATAACCATATATAAAAATGAGACAGCAACCGAACAACACAAAAATAAGAAAAAAAAACAATATAATTTTTTGTATCAATGTTATAATTTCCAACATGTCCAAAGAGTTCAATGTATTTTCTAATTGAAATAAAACACAAGTGGAACTCTTTCAGAACTTCAGAAGCTTAAAGAAGTGCTGTTTCTATTGTTGGCTTTCTGTATAATATATTGCAAATTCTTGTGAAATGGAATTTTATTGTAATTGCCTAAAGTTTTAACATTGATCTATATATATATATAACTGGGGAAAATACCCAAACGTTATAAAGAAGAATACATAAATTGATTGTTATATAATATTAGAATAGGAAGATGTGGTATATCGCTAATTTGACAACTCTCCATCAGAGACCAAAGGATGTAGGAGGTTAGCAACTGATGACACTGGACAACCTTCAACAATCAGTAAAATCCATACCGCATAGCTACTTTTATTGAAAATCATATGTTCTTGCTACATGTATGTATACAATTTTTTATTATCCATAACTTCGGATTTTATTGGTTCTTTTTCAGAAGGATTGGAATTCATCACTGAGAATAGAAGGAGAAAACACAGAAACAAGACCAAAATAAATTCAAAGACAAAAGTCAGATCAGTTATTATTTTCATCACTCAGCCAATGAATTGCAGTTCTATTAAATATCTAAAGATATTAAAACCACAATAATGACAATGTTCTGTGCTGAATGGCAAAAAAAGTGGACTATACATTACGATCACACAATGCTGGATGATAAGAAACTATTAATTTTTTGGGTGGAGGGATATCCTGAAAAAAAAAATAGATTTATGTAAAAAGCTACTAGTATCATGAGTATGTTAAGCCTATTAATAGAGTTTTCATTGATTTCAAATGGGAAAAAATTGTGTTTCAAAAAAGTGTTCTAGAATTCATAAATAAACATATATTGATACTTACATTATCTGCTTTGTTGTTTAAAAGTTTAGTTTTGAACAGTTATAGAACAATATAATTGCATTAACATTTCCAAGGAAAAAAAAGATATTCAACTAAAAAGATTCATCTTAAAACAATTTACTACCAAACAGAATTCATTGTAACATACACATTTATTTACTGTATATTTATAATTTGAATCATAGGATTTTATTTTGTCCCATGGGATATTAAAAATCCCATGGGATAATTATAGTCCCATGGGATTTTTTTTGTCCCATGGGACAACAAATATCCCATGGGACTACAATTATCCCATGGGACCCAAAAAAATCCCATGGGATTTAACCAAAATCCCATGGGATAATGGTAAATCCCATGGGATTTGTCTTATCCCATGGGATATTGAAAATCCCATGTTTTTCTAAATCAAATTACAAAATATATATAATAATAACAGCAGAAAAGCAATGAAATTATTGAATCCCATGTAATTCCGCACATTTTGGTTATTTACATGACACTGTAGGTCTTAGGAGAGGCGGCGGCGGATTTGCAAATGAGTGTTTTGCAAATTAAAAGTGTCCAGTGTTTTTATATATCTCAACTTGTACGATTCGCTCGTGTATGTAACAACGTATTAGATTTTAGCGAGAGAAATTTATATATTACTGAAAAATTATTACACCAGGGTTTTCGATATCATAAACTAGTCAAAACATTTACTAAATTTTATCATCGGTATAAGGACATCATTCGTAAATATAACTCAACATGCAGACATCTTATACGTTCGGGTATTTCACATCCAATCTTTTATGGTAATATTCTTTACAAAGCACAAAAATGCCAGTATTCACCTCAAAAGCTAACAAAACCTTTAAACAGACTTATTAAGAAGGGATATAGTTACGATACTGTTGTCAGGTTATTTAAGATTGCATATTTTGGCTTTAATATTGATTCACTTATAGGGTCTTTGCATCGGAATTAAACATATTTATTCTAAAACCAGTTGTTGGCATGACACGGGTTGTGTTCTTCTCATATATTTTATGACGGTATAATACTAAACCCCTAACAGGAGGGATTGTGCCTGATATTCATATGATGAAGACATAATCTTTCAATCAGTTTAATTGAGGTCTGGAGCTGGCATGTCAGTAACTGCTAGTAGTCTGTTGTTATTTATGTATTATTGTCATTTTGTTTATTTTCTTTTGTTTCCTATTCTGACATCGGACTCGGACTTCTCTTAAACTGAGTTTTACTGTGCGTACTGTTGTACGTTTGTTTTTTCTACATTGGCTAGAGGTATAGGGGGAGGGTTGAGATCTCAAAAAACATGTTTAACCCCGCCGCATTTTTGCGCCTGTCCCAAGTCAGGAGCCTCTGGCCTTTGTCAGTCTTGTATCTTTTTTAATTTTAGTTTCTTGTGTATAATTTGGAGTTTAGTATGACGTCCATTATCACTGAACTAGTATACATATTTGTTTAGGGGCCAGCTGAAGGACGCCTCCGGGTGCGGGAGTTTCTCGCTGCATTGAAGACCCATTGGTGGCCTTCGGCTGTTGTCTGCTCTATGGTCGGGTTGTTGTCTCTTTGACACATTCCCCATTTCCATTCTCAATTTTACTTGTAATTCTTTATTTTCTATAGTTTATACGGTAAAACACAAATTGAAGAGGCAATATTTACTTTTTTGAAATTATAATATATACATAACACATATAAAATATGTTTGTTTAATCCAAAAAAATAATCGATGACCATCGAGAAAAGGAAAGCTAACTGAATTATGTATGATAGAATTAATGTAAAGCTGATTACCATTATCATCAAGGAAAAATCCATTGATGCAGGCGTATAAGTTTAGTCTTCGGGACTTTTGAGATCCGCATTTGATTGGTTGATTGATGTTACATGTCTTGTGGTCATATCGGCTACTGAATCCTTTATAAAAGTAATGTTAATGCCCCTTAACAGTTAGTGCAGCCATGTCGAATAAGGGGCAGATTTTCATATATATATATAATGGAGGTAAAAATGGTTTGAAAAATACTGGAAAACATCATTAAAAGAGGACAGTTGCTTGGAAACATGCATAGGATTTCCCGTACTATCATACTATTTCTACCTCTATCCAAAAAATCTGACCCCTATTCAATAAGGCCGAGCTAACCGTGAAGTGGCCTATTGTCGATACTTCTGAATCGTTTATATTTGAATCAAAAAATGTTGTAGTTGAGCTCTGAGGCGTTCTAATCTTTTTAATCAATTCGAAAAAGAACCGTGCTCTACCTATTCTAAAACATGTTTCAGTATCAATATAAAAAATTACTGCTAACATGCGATATATCAAAAGAAAGCTTAATTTATTCTCTTTTCAAATATTACAGACATTATGCAGTGCGATGATAAATTAATGAAAACAAAACTTGTCTTGATTATTATGTGGGCATGAATAAGTATCCATAAAGTGAAATATAAGATTGATTGATTGATTGATCGGTGTTTAACGACACTTTCAGCACTGTTGACTATTTCGTAGCGGTCAGTTTTTATTGGCGGAGGAGACGGAAAGGCCGGAGAAAACCACCAACCTTCCGTAGGAAAATTGCACCAGTTGCGCTTTTCTACAATAAATGTCTCTTCGGTGATGCTCGAGTACACATTATTTAAAAATCAAAAACTTATTAAAAATTGAATAGCCAATAAAATCATAAAGGACAAAAACAACAATAAAATCGATGCGGCGGATTATGAATAACGGACATTGGTACATTATACCTCAATGGCATAGCAATCAGACCATACTTAAGATAAAAAGAACATCTTGAAGACAAAACACAGAAAATAATTTATATATTTACAGAGTTATTTCAAAAATGTTAAATTCCCTACACCATATGAAAAATGTCTTTCCCCAAAACTAGCCAGCATTTGATTTCGCAGTTTATAGCTAATAATAGTTTTTTTTTATATTCCGTTCATAACATTGAATGAACAGAATTTATCTGGAAATTGTGTTGATATGCAACTGTGACAGGCATGACGATTTTAGAACACATTTAATTCATTTTAATTTATTAACAATAAAAACTGTATCAAACGCCTCCATTTATGAAATAATGAGATGTAGTATGATTACCGATGAGACATTTTTGCATGTATATGAGGGTCTGGATGGGGAGTCCTTCATTTCTGTATACTTTATTTATGTAGGTATTTTTTCTCTATTCTTTTTCTTTTTTGCTCATTATTTTATATTCTTTATATTTGAGCTCCGCATTATTCTTTATTCTTATTTTTTTGCGCTATTTTACATTTTTCTTTATTTATTTTGCCATTTTTCTGCACATTTTGTCCATTATTCTCTATTCTGTAAACCAAATCCAGACTCTCATATATACTGATTGCTTTAAGTTTTTAGATCGGAGTTGTTTCCCTTTCAATAGATTATATCCATATGCTTTAATCTTTCCTTGATATGAAGATCTCTGTTATAGGGGGGTAAATTCATTAAATAAATATACTTCACTAACGACCGCCCATTTGGAGGAGAGCTTTCAGTATAAAATTGAAAACATGTGCTGTACTGATTGGGAGATAAAGTTTTCAATAAATATTTTTGATAAAATAGATCAAAACTAAGATTAAATAGAGCTGAATGCTTTTAGTTTTTTACTACAACTTCTCTCACACGATCCTATGTTTTGATGGTTGCAAAAGATGTGGCTGCATTTGTTCTTTAATGAATGATATATAAGGAAAAGTTTCTAAATTTTAAAGGTAAAATTGGTCTCAATTTAATTGAAGAAATAGCTAGCTAGGTTCAAATTGAAATTATTAGGAGATTTTCAATGAATTTACCTCAATAACAGTGTTTCAGCGTTACTGACAGGTTTCATATTCTATATCTAAGTTTTTACCTTTTCAATGTATCATATTCGGAAGTATATATCTTCCAATAAATTAATTTTGGATGTAATACGTCTTCTGATTGGCTGAAAGATTTTTGTCTATCAGCTCATAGACATAATTTTGTCATGTGAGCGTGGCGAAGGATTTACGCCTTAAAATGGAATTTAGAATTAAATTATAATGAATTTAGAATTAAATTATAATGAATTTAGAATTAAATTATAAGGAATGAATGTAATATTTTTTCTATCTATTCGAAATAACCTCAAAAATGTGGTGCACACTTTTAAATCACACGCTACGCGGGTTATTCAGTGTGCACCACATTTTTGATGTTATTTTTTCACAGACAGAACAAATATTACAGTCATTCCTTAATTAAAGCAAAACTTTTGGTAAAAACTGTAATCTCACTGTCTGACTGTTTTCCTGCGTTCAAGCTTCTGAATCAAAGGTGGAGACAATTCGAAAATGAAACAAAATAAAACTAAAGTCATATAACCAAATTTAAAACCAATTTACTGTCAATTATGCATTTGTCCAAGACAGATTAGAAAATTATACGATAAAGAAACACTTGTATAATATGTAATAATATTTCATTTCTTTTGAACTGTTTTGGCTTTATTCAACACCAGTACATGTACACTTTCTTGAAATATTCGTTTCTAGCGAACTTTTTTTTTTAACGAAGACATGCCACAATTCGAATTTAATTGTGTTTAAGGTTCGCTAAGAAAAACGAGAATGAAATAAAATAAATATAACAGTTTCAATTAGTTCCATGCAAATATGTTAGTTTGCACTTTCTATCAAACATACATGTATGCTCAGGTATTTGATTACGAGAACTATATTACCAATCTAATTAAAATTAAATCTCTACACTCGCTCATTTTTATTTCTTGGTCGCTGCTCCCACGCCTAAACAGCGACCAAGAATAAAAAAAAAAGATCGAGTGCGGAGATTTATTT